AGTGGCCTTTAAGCGACATAGTCGCCAACATTACCCAATATTCAAGATAAGCCACCCAACTAGTCTCTAGTTCATTCTATCTTCTTTCTTTCTTTCTTTGGCCAGTATGCCATCTTTGATTGTATCAAAACTTTTACTTTGAAAACCTACCATAAAGCATACTAAGCAATTCTACGCCTTTGTAAATGAAATCATCTTCAAGGATGGTAAACAATCAACAAGGTAGGCAATGCATCAAGTAGTTAACATTTGAATAAATCAACTTAATGCAATAAGTAACATAGGTGATAAACTTTTCAAAGTAAACAAGGTAATGATTTAATGCATAAACCGGGGCTTGCCTTCGTTGACGATCTCAGGTTCCGGATCAGCACCACTATTATCGAATCCCGTGACAACCGGGGATTCTTCCAGAACTTGCTCAACTAGAATCGGTTCACTCTCGGATTCTACACGAAATAATAGCATATGCTTCAACATGATGATAATGTAAACATGATGCTTTCATGGTGCATAAAATATAACAACACCTTGAATACAACTTTCCTTCACGGTACAGTTACAAGCCAAACTAACCAAACCATATTCGTAACGGATGTGACCACGTCAGCACAGACCACTTCGGCGAGCTCTCCGACCACTTCAGCGAACTCTCCGACCACTACGGTGAACTCTCCGACCACTTCGGCGAACTCTCCGACCACTACGGCGAATTCTCCGACCACTACGGTGAACTCTCCGACCACTACGGTGAACTCCCCGACCACTACGGTGAACTCTTCGACCACTGATCTTGAAACCCTACTGGTCACAAAACATGATCAAAACAAGATCAAACACTAATCAAACACTTAGGGTTTGCTTTTATTTATTTTTGAATTAATTTGAAAATAAGCCCAAAAATGATCTTGTTCCAAATGACCTCAAAATTTTATGTAAGCTTCCTCATGACAAATTAGTGTACCAAAACAAATTTCATAATTTTTGGAATTATACAGTGGCCTACAAAAATCATGGAAATTGCATTTATTAATTAATGGACTGAATATTTGAACATTAAAAATTTATTCAAATTTCAAGTTTCAAATTTTTAAACCATACTAGAGCATGTACAGAGGCTACACACAAAATTTCGGAATTTTTGGAGCTATGATTAATTTCCTACAAATTCTCAAAGTTTTAGCACTATTCAAAATCAGAAAATAATAAAACTTCACTGTTCTTCTCCTTCCTTCTCACTAACAGCCCGACCCCACTCGTCAGTGACACATACAGGTCACGGCGGCGCTGCCATCACTGGCCGACCCAAAATGCGCCGACGGTGACGCTCCGGCGAGGCAGACCGCACTCAAATGATCTACACACTCCTACAAACCCATCCCAGCCCTCAGATCGGCAGAAGGCGCACCGGAGAAGGCTCCACGCCGGCCATGGCGGCTTGAGCACGACGGCTCACGTCGTAACCCCGGCAATGGCGTAGTAGAGTCTAAAACAAAGTGAGTATCGCGTTCAGTAGCTCACCACGGTCATGCCGGTACGTTTGGTGAAGACGGAGACGGTCTGGAACGGCCTAGCCACGTCGAATCGATGGTGGCGGAGCTCCGGCCGGTCTCGGGGAAGAAGACGTTGCGCCGGGCGATTCCGGCCAACCCAAGCGACGTGAGCAAGCCACAGAGAGCGCAAGACCGAGGCGATCTCGTTGGCGTAGCTGGGCACGACGGACGCGGCTTGACGATGGCTACGGCGAGCGGCGGAGCTAGCTGGCGGCGTAGCAGAGCAGAAGGGGAAAACGGGGATGACGGCGGCTGTTGCTGCTATTTATAGCCGGGAAGATGTTGCCCGACGTCGACAACGCACGAACGGACCCGCCACGGCACTAGCTGCGTGTCAATGCGCGAGGAAGCGGCGCAATCTGATCGGCGGCGACATCCGCGTGGCGCCGGCGGCAAGCAAAGAGGTGGCGCTCGGCTGTTTTTTTTTTAATTTTGATGTATTTACAGAATTGCCACTGCGTCAATTTTACAAATTACTCACAAATTTTCTAAAGAAGATGAAAATCTCCAAAAATGAAAGTTGCTCAATTTTTCAAACTCTACAACTTTGCTTCAAGGAACATTTTCAAATTCTGCCTCCATTTTGAAATTTGAATTTGGGGTGCATTTGAGTATTTGAATCATTTCAAAATTACTCCAAATTTTATATGTAAACTTGAAAAACTTTGAATACCAAAGTTGACCCTTATAAAATAATCTTCAACTCTGTTTTTTGCCTCAACCCCAAATTCCACATGGATTTTGAATTAGTCAAAAGGGGCAAAAAGGACTTTTATAATATGAATTTGAATTCAAATTTGATTTGTCTTCCTTTTACTTTAACTTTGATTTTTGACCAGTAACATGGCCCATTAGGGTTATTTGAGTCAAATGACACATGGCCTCACATGATCACATGAAATTTGACCCTTGTGGTCATAATTTTTATTTAGGGTTTTGAAACACATCACATGAAATAACAACATTATGAAATAAAGCTTATTTAGTGAATGAATTCAAAATTTTCTACTTCATAAATGCTTTGCAATGCATATGATGACATGTCAAATTTTAATAATAGGTCAAAACACCAGAGGTGTTACACACTGTGCCCATCAATTTTAAACATCTACTGTCCCCATCAATTTTGAATGATGACCGGAGAGAGTGTACAATTCTGAATCCCACCCATTTTAGAATTCCTGGTATATTTTTCTGTTTTACCATGCCATTACTAAGCCACGTGGTTCTCCCTGCACAGACGGCTCCCTTTATCTCCCTTTATTTTTATCTCTTGCTGCGTGTCAGGTGACTTGAAGGTTATTTTTCCACACATTCTTTGAGGTAACATTAGTTTATGCAATGCATTGTTGTACTAGCAAAACATTGAACTTGTGCTCACTTCAATGCTATGAAAACAGCATTGACAAAGCACAATTAGCTAAGTACTTCAAATTTGATAGAATTAATTTTGGATTTAATGTGGGCCGTAGTGTTAGCACGGGCAATATACTTATTATCTGCCATGCACATCTATCAACTTCACTGAGGATGAAATTCTTGGCGGACATTTTGAAGAGCCATGCAAACGAATGTTTTGACAGCTTCTCTGAATATCTCTATGCCTTATTATGCAAAAGTGTTTCCCGGATTGTACATGCTCTACAATTGTGTAAAAGTTGAACTATGAAAAATTGGTTTTTTTTCATGTGCATGCCAAGATAAAGCCGTGACGTTAGCACGGGTATTATATTAGTAGGAATAGGAGATGATGCATGCTTTGTATAATTGTTGTCCTACTAGTGTTACGCCTCTGTGTTTCGTATATAGTTTGGTCTACAGTCTATACGTAGAAGATCCTGACCTCATATGAAAGGAAATGATATATGAGCTGAATCTAACAAGTATGCAAACGATGAAAAGGTGAGCACGTGGGCTGGGCAGGGTGGGTAATGGAGGATTTGGTGGCCCAAGAGGAGATGGATACTACATCAGTTGGCCGTGCCGGCGGTGCTGATCATGACTCTCCTCGGCTTTGGGCCCACCATGGCAATCAGCGCGTGAGCGTCACGTAAGAGAAAAAAAGGATTTGCTCAAAAAAAACGTAAGAGAAAAAGGAAAGGGGTGCGAAAGAAAGAAGAAAGGAAAGAAGAAAGAAAAGAAAAGAAAAAAAAGAAAGGAATATACAACGTAGGCGGATGGAATCCCGCACCGAATCGGCTCAGAATCCACACAGCAAAAAAAATCCTCGATCGTCGTCGGTCGGTTTCCGTGATATCCGCGCTCCGTTTCCAAATTCCAATACCGCCTCGACTCTCCGTATGCCGCACGAATCGGCGTGGCGGTTCCAGGTACCCAAACCGCCTCCAAGCGCCTATATAATTAAGTCCAGGGCCTGGCCGGACGGCTGCGCTTTTGTTCTGATCTTCTCCCTGCTCTCTCCACGCCTAATATGATTTCGCCGCCGCAGCCGCAGTAGCTTTGTTGAGAGGAGAGTCGGCAGCCGGGGGTATTCGTTTTCAGGCGTTCGTGCATCTTCTATCTATCAACTACGCGAATAGAGAAGACCGCAGGGCTTTGAGGTATGCGTGCACACCCGTTAGTCTAGTGCTAATTTCCGTTCGTTGTTTTGAGTTGGATCTTCTATGTTTTTTTCACATGTACTGTTTGCATATGTAAGATGTAATTTATTTATTTCTCACAAACATGATGCCTAAGTTGTATACTTAGGTATGTAGAGCACTCAAAAGGATTCATGTTTGAATCTATATTTACGTTGGCCGTTGATCTATATAATAGATGGGCTCAGTGTTAGAAACTTGTCAAACAAGTAGGATGAATTGTTTTTCTTTACCTTTGCTTAATTTCGTGAGACGTGTGCGAGAAAACCGTTGCTAAATTTTGTGAGACTCATCCATACAACTCTAAGGAACAAAGAGAAGAATATATACCAATGTAATGTTCTAGGCTTACCCTTCTTACTAGATTACTAGATGAAGATCAACAGGTAAAAGATTTACCAAAGTATCATGAGTCCACTTGGTTCTTAGTGCTAAGCTAAACAGTACTCCCTCCGTCCCCAAAAAAGTGATGTTCTGTGATTTAAAATTTATCCTAGAAAAAATGATGTTTTGAATTTTAGACACGTTGTTGGCCCACAGATCCAGCGCCAAATTACCAATTGAGATGCGCTAGTGTTTGGTGCCTGCCTCGGATATCTGCATGCTTACATGCAGCGCGTCTTAATTAGGAAGTAAAGCACGTGACATCTTTTTTAAGGGAATTATGTGTGACATACTAAGGGTATTAGGGACATTTTTCTTCTCCACTAATCTGTCTAAAAAATCCCAGAACATCACTTCTTTTTGGGACGGAGGGAGTATATGTTAAATTGGTCAGCCTTGCAATTTCGTTATAAATAAATATAGCGCTATAGTCATAGCTTTGTTTTCTATGTTGGTAACAGGGATGCCAAGCCAAACACAATGTTTCGGCCCAAATAAACGGGTGGCAACTGGATCAAGGAATAAGAATAAAATTATGGAGATGTCTCGAAAACAGTATTTGGAAACTCGAACGAATATGCGTCCTGTTGCGAATAAAGCCAATCATAAAGTGAACGTTGGTTCACAACTGGACAAACAATTTCCTTCGAAGAATACCAACATTGGTCAGCCAAGCGCAAAAATAGTGAACAATTCATCGGTGGCAAAGGGTGCTAGCAAGTCAAATCATCTTTCTACAGCAAAGGGTATGAAGCAGCCTACTGCCTCAAGCTTCGAAAAACGCTCGATTTCTGTAGAGAAACGAAATGCTCTCTCAAGGTCAACGGTTGATGGAAAAGCCAAATTGAAGGAAACACATGCCTTAAAAAGGAAACGAGAGGCGAATGATGCTTCACAGCCAACTCAGTTGAAGGCTGTGCCAGGGTTGCTTCCAAAGACAACCGATAGATTGGGTCATTATAGTGACTCGTCGTCTTGGTTAAAGAAGCGAGAAAGTTCTGATAAAGACATCACTTGTGCAAAATATAGCACTACAAAATTGGAGTTGTCTAAGGACAGCTGCATGACTGAAGGTAACGACAGACAAGATGAAATTGTGATTGATGGTGACAAAGAAAATGTGAAATTTGGTGAATACCACAAGGAGGGAGACACTACGAAGGCAAAACATACTCTGGATTCTACATTGTCCGGCATCCATTGCAATTCGTGGAGCACCTCTTCATATCCATTCGGTAGAGACCTTCCCAAATTTCAAAGAGACAACCATTCTATGAACTTGACTTTTGAAAATGCTAAGAAAAGAGAGCTTATAGAAAGAAACATGGGTCAATTTGCTAACTTCAATGGAAAAAACGTTAATTCCATGTCCAAGAAGAGGAAGGAACCATTGTTTGCGAGAAAATCCTAAGGCACTCGATGATGATAGTATTGTTGAGACTGCAATGGATAGTATGAGTTGTAAGCGCAGATGAAGAAACTCAAACAATCCAGAGTAACATGGAAAGATGAAGCGGAAGATGGCGGTGGTGATCTTAATCATGTGGGTTTGGAGGATGACACTACTACTATTTTAAAGAATGATCACGCTAAAGTCTCAGTGTCATCATGTGTTGAACAACAATGCTATAGTTGTTCGAAACCCATTGACAAACCTACTTGGAGGTATAATAGATGTTGTATTTTAAAATCTTTAAAATATTCTTGTATTGTGCTTATGTTCTAATGTCTTCATTATTTATGTCAACAGTGGTATCTTTAAGACAGACGATAAGGAATATGTATCATTGGATGGACATTTGTCAACCAAATCATGTGAGAAAGCATGGAGTTTGTCCAAACAATTGCTTAAAGTGGTTGAAGTGAAAAAGCTTTCGAGGTTGGAGGTGTGGCCTAAGGCATGGGAGGTACCAAAACCGACTGCCGATGACATTGGCATCTATTTCTTTCCTCATGAAATGAGGTGTGTTTCTTAACCTTTTCATAACTTTTCACCACTACCATCCATGAGAATTAAAATGCCTAATTCTCTCTTTCCATTCCTAGGCAAGACGAAGGCTTGGACCAACTAGTTAGAGAAGTCATGCAAAATGATTTAGCTTTCCGGGCTATTATTGGTGAAGCCGAGATGTTGATATTCCCCTCTATTCTATTGTCCAACCATCACCAGAGTATGTGTTCTCTTTTTGAATGTTTTCTTCCCTTACTAATTGCTTTTATGGTCAATTGAAGTTAAGCCCATAGTCACAAAAATCCCGGGTCGATAGGGTTGAGGAACACGATATGCTTACTTGAGAGGGTTTTTTACAAGGCATACACCAAAATGACCCCACGTCCTAGGTAGAGGGTTTTTGCCTTTGACCCTGTTTTATGTGATGTGACTATGGGCAAGCCTAGTTGGTGGTTATGCATGATACCTGGTTCCATTCTTTCGTTCATTGACACACCGGTTTCTCTTATTTTGCAGCATTTCAGGGAAAACACTACCTATGGGGAGTATTCAAGCGTAGGGAAGACAATGGTGTTCTGGTTGAAGAACCACTTAATGCTATGGGGCACTGTGAGAAGGAAAAGCAGCAAAATCTTGTCTTAGACCAGCCTAATCGTAAGCTACCAAGTGAAGAACCAAATCAAGAAATGATTCGAATGGCGAGCGTCATACCTTTGGAAAGACATATGTTGCCTCCTAATAAAAGTACTCAAGAAGTTGAAGCTAGCCGTCTCAAAGGGCCAACCAACAAGGGCTTTGATCTTAAAGCTCCTAGTGAAGAAGGGGGACAGGCAGAAGGTACTCCTGTTGCTACTGATGCCGCTGCATTTCCAGCAAGCCATGGACAGATTAACCCTAGTATGGGACATACCCCAGGCAGGCTGATGGGTTTTGTTGTCCGAAAAACTCCAAAACTTGATCGAATTATCCGAGAGATAGAACAGGAAGGTGCATTGGTATTTGCTATGCAAGGGGAGATGGTGCTGGATCTTGGGCAGCCAGCAAGGGTACTGCCACGCAAAAGTAGAGGCCAAGGCATGAGGTGCTCTCTAGAAACATCTAGGTAGCGAACGTTCCTTCTCAGCATCAACAAAAAGCTGCCAAGCATGTCCTGGTATGAGATTATACCGGATTTGGGCTATTCACTGGTGGGTCAGCTGCAGATGGAGGTTGAGCAGGAAATGGACTTGGATTACAGTAGCTTTTGCACGCTTTGTACTGCTGCATATGTATCTTCAAATGAAACTTGCTGTTGGTTCAGATCGACTCCCTACTAGTAATTCATCTTACTGCAGTGTAGTTTCGGTTTGGTTGTTTCGACCAAGACATCAGTTGCGTGTGTGCATTTCACCAGTTTTTATATCTTCTCGCCTCTTTAATCTTTTACTTATATACTAGGCAGCGTGTCCGTGCGTTGCTACGGGACAACTAAATCTTTTGTACTAAAAACACACAGATCGCACGATAAGATAACAATACTGTTAAATTAAATACCGACGTTAAAGTGACATTTAATTCAAAAAGCAAAGTTCGTGAAATTAACACAGTCACGGAGAGCGCGACATCGCAGACTCACAAACTCTACTGTATAGATTTTTTCGTGATACGGCTAAGATAATATTTTATATCGGCAGAAAGAATTCTCCGATATCCATTTCTTTCGTGCGCCAATAAATCCATGAATAAGTTCTGCTGCATCTCCATATAATCCTGTACACACAGGTTCGAATATATATGTAAATTTAGTGCCTGTCACATGGATAATACTGCGTGTCTTAAAAAATCTCTCACAAAATCTTAAAACAAAGTATGTTATACTCACCGTATAAATATGTGTGGCTTGAGGACTATTCTACATAGACATATATTGTAGAATAAGGTATATTCACTTGAGTGTCTGTTCCAAGATGTTGAATTAGTTGTTGTAATTCTTAATTTCGACACATTTTTTAGGTCAAGGCAACCAATGGTGACACTTTTCTTAGTGGTGCATAATTTTATGGTGCACCTCTTGACTATCTGAGTAAGGACAAGTTAGCACTGCAAAGGCTCAGAAAAGCTACTGAGAAGGCTAAGGTTGAGTTTTTCTCCACTATGCATACTAAAACCTACGTCCCCGTTTATCATTGCCGATGCTTTTGATGCAAAGCAATTCAACATTACCATGATCAGATATAAGTTTGAGTCTCTTGTGAGCAATCTCATAGAGGGACTCTCATCCTTTATGTGATCTGCCTCAAGGATATTGACATCTCTACCCTACATCGTTCCCTTCAGCAATCAATTGATATAATTTCTAGGGTTGAAGGAGTTGCCTGATCTTTGGAGGAAGCCTTGTACGATTGTCGCATACCGTGCGTCAGATCGCACGGAGGCAGAATGATGGACCCATATTGGAATATCGCACCAAAAAGTGTTCACGTTTTGTCCACGATTTATTTCCCATGAATACATATGGGTATTATGATAACACTAACTACACCAAATGAAAGATTAGAGAGAATTTGCATAGCCTCCAGAAGGATTTATTTATTAAGTTCTTTGGACTCTACATGTAGTTTTAAAATATCTATTTGCATGTCTTACCTCATATCCTAATTCAAAATTTTATAGTTTAATTAGAATATTTAGGTGATTGTATATATATAATATTCAATACAAGAATAATCTAAGCATGATCTTCTCGAAAGATTTCTACAGTGTAAAGACATCTTCGTTTTTCATGCATGTCCGTGCTAACGTTACGGTAAAAACAAAAGGACAATATATAAATTAAAAATAAAACAAAACTTATGCTCAAAGTCAAAGAGATAAATTATGGATGCTTGAATTTTATCATCCATTATCTACCGGCGTGCCTATAAAATAGACTGAATAAACAATTAAACATAGATAGAAAACTAAATTATGAAAGGATCATTGCAAGACATCAATCATCTCATAGCTTCGAACAATATCGCAAAGCTACTAAAAACTGTAACCGTGCCCTCACCTCAAATATTGTCCAGATAAATGGATTACAATGAAAATAGAAGCAAATGTTAATACACATGGAAATAAACGCACAGGTAGAGTAAATAATGCCATTTCAGGGGAAATTTTCCGAGATAAACTTCAAACCATATCACAAGGAAAACTATCTTCTCAGGAAACCACAAAATAAAGTTTTGTCCACCTTATAACACACGTGTACCATACAAATTTATTCATGGCAAAAGGATTATATACTCATATTCAATAAATTATGTTTCACAAGAAAAGTATAAGAATGATTGAGAAAACAGGTGTGTTCTATCCCTACGCCTTGGAGCGGACTTGGTACCACTGTCGCTTCTGATTCGGCAAAGCTTCAATGTTCACAGACATCCGCAACAACTGCACCCTTGGGCTCCTCTCTCCACCTCCTCCGTGTTCTCCATCATGTGGGTTCTCCATCTTTTCATTTATGAGTTTTTGACCTTTCTGCACTTGAGTTAGTATGTCAATAATAGGAAGTTCAAACTCTTATGTGAAAACACAAAGTACCACATGTAGCCAGTTTCTAAAATTCTAGGAAGAACTGCTATAGTTTTTTTTCCTTCGTCAAGTCACATCTATCATGCCAGCAATACACAATGAATTCAAGTACTTGCTATAGTCCTTTCAGCCCACTTTTGAAAGTTCCCAGCCCTCCCTCAGTTGCCAGCAAGGATTTGACTTTTAACAAGTACAGACCATGTATCATTTAAGTAAAGCTTTGGTCTGCCTCCAAAAGCATATTTATGAACAAGCTCTGCCAATTGCAAATTATAAAGAAAACGGTTAACAATTCTGAAATACATATGAGATGTGCATGGAGGTCAACACACCTGAATCATAAGGCGCACATTCTGGTTATCATGTTAAAGCATGAATGGATTTTTTTGTTTCTTTATTAGCCATATATCCTGGTATCTCAACAATTAGCATATCATATGGAATCCAAAAAAAATTTGGACCAGTGAGATACAGAAGCATGAAGGGCAGGCCTGGTGCAAGCGGTAGAGTCTTACCGCCTGTGACCGAAAGGTCCTGGGTTTGAGTCGCGGTCTCCTCACATTGCACAGGCGATGGTAAGGCTTGCCACTAACACCCTTCCCCAGACCCCGCACAGAGCGGGAGCTCTCCGCACTGGGTACGTCCTTTTTTAGATACAGAAGCATCTAATTATCTATAGTAGGTAGTCTCTGATGTACAATAAAAAGGGCGTACCCAGTGCAGAGAGCTCCCGCTCTGTGCGGGGTCTAGGGAAGGGTGTTAGTGGCAAGCCTTACCCTCGCCTGTGCAATGCGAGGAGACCGCGACTCGAACCCGGGACCTTCCGGTCACAGGTGGTAAGACTCTACCGCTTGCACCAGGCCCGCCCTTCTAGTCCCTGATGTACAATGAGATAATATTTTTGAAGGTGTTTTTGGTCAAAAGAATGCTATTGAATGACAAGGTTGAAATGTTTTTCCCCATGTTATGAGAAACAAATAAGTTTTTAAGCAAAAGAATGCTAGTGAACAAGATTCAAATGAACATAAATTGGTAGCTTTGATCGATTGAACAGAATACAGGGTATAAGAGTTGTCAGTTTTATCCAAAATCTAAGTCTATGGCTATGAAAAAAACATTAATCTGTTACATCCCTTTCTCAGTTGTATACCAGCATAAATAGTTTTTTTTGGCAGATTTGTCATATCTCTGGAATATGAAGTAGCAAAAATCATTCTTTATACGGGTTGTCAATTACAAATCAAAAGTATGAACTTCTACGTAACTTGTATGCCATCTACTAAGATTTATGCAGATAAAGAACCTGCATGTCATCTACTAAGATTTGTGCAGATAAAGAAATATAATTTTTGAACATGTTTGACTAATTTGACAAAGTAAAAGTGCACCAATAGGGAAGGAAACCTCTTAGATTTTCTCCTCGACTCGATGGCCTGCAGAGTAGTAAAACAGTTGGAAACCTGTTTGGACTTAGCTGTTTAAGCGAGCAGAAAATGATTAAGGTGGCTGCACATCCATGCTTATAAATTTGAAGTACAATATATCATAAATATAAAAATGGCATACTGATTGAAGATGCTTTCCAACGCTATCCTGAAAGCACCCATCCCATAGCACCATTCTTGACATATCATCTTACCTTGTATTCAAGATCATCAAAGATGTTTATAGATCACACATTAAGATATTAGGTGAAAATGAAACAGATGAAGCCCAAGAAGGCTTTCTATTAGTGAAGCACATACATGAAAGAAGTACATGTAGATCTCTTCCCCAGTCAATAGGATCACTGACAACAAACACTCCGTTGACTCGCTCTGAATAAACATCATATGATGGGTGCCCTTTCGCAGACATGTAATTGTCTGCTTGCCAAACTTTCCAAGTCTTGAAAGGATCCATGGGGTCAATATTTTTATAATATGATGCATATTGATCTATGGACAAAACTTTTCTATGTATACACATAACTCATGAGGAATTCACACAATAAATCTGACCCGTGATTGTAATAGCAACATGACGAATTACCTAAATCCGTACTCGAACATCACTACTGCAGGCTCTCCTTTTCCAACAGCAGCAATAAGGTCATCTTCGAAACTGCAAAGTTCAAAAAGGGGTTCCATTCATAATCCTACAAGTCCATGAAGAAATAAGAAATCATTAATAAATCTGACCCGTGATTGCCGCATCCGGGAGGAGCAGCGCCGCCAAGCCTCACGCACCGAAAGCGGCCTCACCGGGCGGAGGCCACCAGCGCGGAGGGGCGACACGCAGGGAAGAAACGGGCGTTAGCGCAGAGGGGGCGACGTGCGCGGAAGTGGCGGCGCGCGAACGGTGGGTACGGGCCGGCGGGTATACTTCACGAAAAAACCCGCCACCGCATGCCATGGGCGGAGGCCGGGAGGGGGCGCAGCGCACGCGTCAAAGTGGGGGTGGGGGCGTCGTTGAGGAAGCCGCGCCCAGGGAGAAAGGGGCCGCTGCTGGTCGTCGCCCTCCACGTCCCCGGCCTCGTTGCGCCCTCCGCCTCCTTGGGATAGGACGATGC